CCCAGAGGGAATGAACAGAACAGGGAATCATCAAGTGATCCATCCCGTGTCGCCCATTCCCAGCTTCTGGCAAACAGAGGCTAGGGAGACCATCCCTGCCCATCCTGGCTAATAGCCATCAATGGAGCTATCCTCCATGAATTTATCTAGTTCTTTTTTGAACCCTGTTATAGTCTTAGCCTTCAAAACATCCTCTGTCAAGGAGTTCCACAGGTTGGCTATGCATAGTGTGAAACAACACTTCCTTTTGTTTGTTTTAAACCTGCTGCTTATTAATTTCATTGGGTGACCCCCTAATTCTTGTGTTATGAGAAGGAGTAAATAACACTTCCTTATTTACTTTCTCCACACCAGTCATGATTTTATAGACCTCTATCAAAAGTCTACCTAAAGGCATAAATGATTGTTTTATGTTTCTGTGGTTGCCATTGAAATATCAGTGGTACGCTACCATCATCAGTGCTTATGCTCCTACCATGACAAATGTCAACAATGAGGAAGTATGCAATGTACTTGTAACCATGTTGGTCCCAGGATATTAGAGAGGCAAGGTGAAGGAGGTGATATCGGACCAACTTCCGCTGATGAGAGAGACAAGCTTTTGAACCGCACAGAGCTCTGAAGAAGAGCCATTTGCTCTCATCAACAGAAGTTGGTCCAATAAAAGATATTACCTCAGCCACAATGAGAAAGAAAAGCTCTTCGGTGACTGAGACAAACTCATTGTGTCTACATCAGCGTCAGAGAAACAAATTATGATGGGGGACCTCAATGCAAGGGATGGAAGTAATGACTAACCTGGCAACACACCCTTGGACAGCATGGGACTTGGAAAGAGAATAGCAATGGATCTCTGCTAATCAGTGAGTGCATCAAACGACAACTAGTGATCACAGATACCTTTCTCCACCTACCCGACATAAAGATAACATCATGGATTCACCCAAGATCCAAACAATGGCATCTTATCAACTACTTCATCATCCAACAATAAGATCTACAGGACAGACCATGGCACGATAGGCTCCAAACTGTTGTTGGTAATATGACCAGTGCATTGCAAGTCATCAACTAAATCGGGGGTGCTCACAACAAATTTTTTGGTGGCCTCAGCGTCTGGCCACCAACTCTTGCTGGTGGCCGCTCTGACACAAGATGCTTTGTACGTTTTTGTCTTTTTTCTTATTGTTTCTTTTGCTTTTTTTTTTGGTTGCTTTTTTAAAAGACTTGCTAGCTAGTAAGTCTGCTGCGAGAAGTGATATTAACAAACATACAAAAATCACTTTTCACAGCAGAGTTACACAGACCCCGCAAGCCAGGGGACAAATTAAGCCCTGGATAGGGAAGTAGTTACGGGGGCAGCAGGGTGATGGGACACTGGGGGAGGCAGCAGGGGCCAGGGGTGATTGGGGAGGGTGAGCTTGGGGCCAGAGCCCGTCACCTCACAGCCAGGGAATGGAGCCCAACGCCCCATGGGTGGAGCCACCCACCACCCCAGGGCTGAATCCCACAACCCCTGTGAACATGGGGAACACACACCGGCTGTCTGCTCTTCCAGCTTTTCTGTCTCCAGAGGTGGCCAGGGCCCAACCACTGCTGGCAGCCCCAGGGGAGGGGCTGCTGCTTTACACACACACACCCCATCACCCCCAGAAGGCTGTGGCTGCAAGAAAAGCCCCATGGTGGCCATGTATGGCCATGGTGGCCGCATTTGAGAAACACTGAACTAAACCAATCAGACGGCTCGATGTAAAGCGATGACCAGGTGAAGCTACCCGGCGCAGCTCTGCAACAACATCAGAGCAGCTCTGTCCGACCCCACTATTAGTGCCCCATGAGGGCAGGGGACTGGACTCGATGACCTCTCAAGGTCCCTTCCAGCCCTAGAATCTATGAATCTAATGTACATAGCAAATGGGCCTCTCTTTGAGACACCCTATATCAAGCCACTCTTGCCAAAACGATGTCACCAAGATGGGTTCAACAAGAATGACCCAGACATCTAACAGCTACTCATTCAACAACATGAGATGCACTGTCGAATTCTTGCATCCCATGTCCCTGTAGGCACAGTAATAACATACAGCAGTCTGCCTCAGGGCACCCGGTCTAAGCTTGGAGACACGCAGGATCAGTGGTGGACTGCCAAGGCAGATGAAATCCAGGGCTATGCCGCCTGTCAGAAGACCAAAGACTTTTATGCTGCTTTGAAAGCTGTATATGGTCCTACACACATGACCCACAGTGCCTTAGAAGAGTGTGGACGGCCTAGCACCGACCACAGACAAAGGAGAAATCCTTCAGAGATGGCAACAGTATTTCAGTGATCTTTTGAACCCACCATTTAACGTTACAGGTGAGGCACTAATTAGAGTAGTGGGTCAGCCGACATGTAATTACAACATGCACGCAGCCCTGTCCCTTGATGAAGTCAGCACTGTGATCAGTGCCATGAAGAACTTCAGGGATCCCGCGCATCTGATGGCGTTCCTGCAGAAATATTCAAATATGGAGGCCAGACCTTGCTAAGGCAACTGCCTGGACTCTCTCTCAATATATGAAATACTGAAGATATACTGCAAGATTTTAAAGACACCACCATTGTCACCATATACAAAAGGCAAGGTGAAAAGTCCAACTGTGGTAACTATCACGTTATCTCGTTACTCTCCACTGCTGGTCAAAGTACTCTTTGATTGTGAATCGCATGCTATCAGAGTCACCACATGGTTTCAGGCCAACGGGAGACATGGTATTTGTAGCTCATCAGATGCAAGAGAAATGCAGAGAACAGCAACAGGACCTTCACGCTGTCTTCATCAACCTGGCTAAAGCACTTGACACAATCAGACCTGGACTATGGCGACTAGTTTGTAAGTTTGGTTGTCCAGAAAAATTCACCGCCATTGTGAGACTAGTTCATGACGTACTGCTCGGACCAGTCTGCATAGAAAGCGTTCTGTCTGACCCATTTCCTACCACTAATGGTATTAAACAGGGCTGTGTAACTGGTCTGATCTGTCTAACCTCTTCTAGGCAGCACTGCTCGATGATGCTACGAGGCAGAAAGATAGGCACTGAGCGAAACTCTACTGCAAAAACTCAGATGCCAAGTGACACTAGGAACCCACTGGGCTAGAGCAGGAGTTTTGTGCATCGTAGTGGTCCCGAAACTGGGATTTGGCACCTAACCAGGGAGCCAGGAGCCTAACTCCTTTGGGAAATTCAGGCCCTTTTCCTTCTCCGAGCCACTCTCATAACTGCTTCTCCTGCTGTCTGCTGGCTTTTCTTCTCTAGCACACGCAGCTCTCCAAACAACCCCTAGTCCACACGGCTTATCTCTGCTCAGGCGTTGCCATGTGCCCTTCTGCTCTGAGCGGCGGCCTCCTATTACATAAAGGGGCTTAATTCTTCCTTCCATTTAGCCAGAAAGAGGGGTGTAGTTAGCACAGCCGCCAGCCTTAAGGAGGTCTGTGATTCACGTCAGTTGTTATCACTTGCCAGCATAACAACACTCCCCCATCCAGCTCCGCCCATCGTCCTGATGGAGTGTGAGGGTATGTCTACACTACAGAGACCATACTGGCACCAGTATAACCCTATTGTGTAGATGCAACCTACACTGATGGAAGGGGTTAGTAGCTAGGTCAACAGAAGCGTTCTTCCATCAACAGTGTTGCATCTACACAGGGGGCTCGGTCGGTCTAGCTATATTGCGCAGGGGGTGTGGATTTTTCACTCCCCTGACTGATGTAACTACGTTGACCTAACTTTTAAGGATACACCAGGCCTAAGATGTTGACACAGTGAATGACTGATCTCCCATCTAGAAAGAAATCATGTCACAAATTACAAATGATACACACTGAACAATTTACACGGTGTTTTGTTTTTTGTTTTCCCTCTCAAGATATTTTCACATCATCGTCCCTATCAGTCACACTCCCAACCAAATCTTTTTGAGTTCAAAAGGGTGCCACCCGGAGTGACTTTATCGCCCAGAGAGAACGGAAAGAAATAACGTAACAACTTACAAAAGCGTAACCATTTACACAGTCAGGACATCTGCACATCACCACCCAAATCAACTATATGCCATCCAAATCTCCGGTGAACCTTGCTCTCCGCGCATGCTTTCCTTTCAGCCACCTGGGAGACGCTGCTTTCAATGGCTCTTGAGGAGTGTCTGTTGTTTCTCTACTCTGTCCCCATATCTACTCTGGCGACACCATCAGAGGACCCAACCACATCAGCCACACCATCAAGGGCTCAAACACCTGCACATCCACTAATGTGATATATGCCATCATGTGCCAGCAATGCCCCTCTGCCATGTACATTGGCCAAACCGGACAGTCCCTCCGCAAAAGAATAAATGGACACAAGTCAGGAATGGTAACATACATAAGCCAGTAAGTGAACACTTCAATCTCCCTGGTCATTCTATTACAGATTTAAAAGTCACTATCATTGAACAAAAAAACTTCAGAAACAGACTTCAAGGAGAAACAGCAGAACTAAAATTCATTTGCAAATTTAACACCATTAATCTGGGCTTGAATAGGGACTGGGAGTGGCTGGCTCATTACAGAAGCAGCTTTTCCTCGCCTGGAATTGACACCTCCTCATCTATTATTGGGAGCGGACTACATCCACCCTGATTGAATTGGCCCTGTCAACATTGGTTCTCCACTTGCGAAGTAACTCCCTGCTCTTCATGTGTCAGTATATAATGCCTGCATTTGTAACTTTCACTCTATGCATCCAAAGAAGTGAGGTTTTTACCCACGAAAGCTTATGCCCAAATAAATCTGTTAGTCTTTAAGGTGCCACCAGACTCCTTGTTGTTTTTGTTGTTTCTCTGGCGTTTGTTAAATGGGACAAACTTCCCCCCTTCTCGTCTAATGGGGAATTCATCCCTGTTACAACTCTTCCAGCCTCAGTTTCCACACCTACCTTTTCAGTTGGCCAAAATGAGATTCTACTCCCTGGATATGTTCTCAGATGGACAGGAAACCTGAAAAGCCATTTGGCTCTTAAAAAGTTGGGTAGCACCCAGACCATGGCCTACAGGAGCAGCCAATTCAATTTCACCTTCGGAGGGCAGGGAGAATGTGAAATGAACAAGAGCCTAGCAGGTGGACAGTCAAGCAGCTGAATAATTCCATTTTAGTCCTCCTGAAAGGGAATTTATTTTCTTTCTTTCTTTCTTTCTTTCTTTCT